GATTTGCTTATACTAGTCTTTTGCTTCTTTGATGAAATTCAGCAAGCACTATCCATGCTCTCCTACTGGGGCCACCACTTGTTTCAATGCCTTTGCCTCTTTTACCATCTCTCTTGCCTTACATACCCCTTTGCAAATTTAGGTCGTTGGGTGCTCAATGTACTTTTATCTTTCTAGGTTCTCTCTTTTACCACATCAAACTTTGTATGATAACTCTCTATGCTCTCTAACTAATGCAACAATGTAGTCTTCTTGTTTATTTAACTTCTGTCTTAACCTGCTTAGGTAGTTGTTCAACATGTTATTCTCTATCTGTACTTGGGTTTTTTTTCTTCCAATTCAGCATATTCTTGCTTCAATCACACATTCTTTTCAGTCAACTCAATAATTGTTATCTCTTTGGCTTGTACCCTCACACGTAATCTTTTATGTTCATGGTGCAACTCCGATAAGTCCTTGACAGCTGAGTCACATTCCCTAGCAATCTTGCAAACTTTGACTTCATGCTTTCTAGCTCTATCTTTCCACTAATCTTTCTCTTCTTGAAGCTTCTGAATCTCTTACTTTAGCCTATCCTTTTTGGCCTCGAATTCTTTCCTTGCAAGTTCTAATTCTAACGGTGTTTTTTCAAGCATTTCTCCTGTTGGTGGTTGAAAGCATTCATAAGTGAATACCATTTTTTGTCTTCGTCTTGCTCTCCAAACCAAGTACCCCTAAGTGACTTTATCAGTGAATGGTCCAGGACTCACTCTACAAGGGTTTTTCTATGCCTCAATCATTTCATTCATCCTTTGAAATGCTTTTGGCTCACTGTAAGAGAAATCTGACTAATGAAGCTTATGCATCATAGGGATAAACTATTCTATCTCAAACTGCCTTCTCACTAAAAGTGGTGCATAACTTGTTGCTTCTCATAAACCTAGAAGTGGGACCATAGTGTTATCTTCACACTGATATAGCATAGGTTCACGGTTCATCCATAGGACCAACCATCTTACTTCGGCACTTGTCAGTTTTTGTAAGAATGCTATCCATTCTTTTTTAGACTTTTGTTATGACCACCCACTTTCACAAATTCCTTGATCGAAGCTCGATTACGAAAATAAAGCTTTGAGAAAGTACATTTTCTTCACTTGAAATGGTTTTTCATCCATAAGTATAATAATTGTATGCAGCCTATAAAATGCCCTCCATTTCGATGAGAGTAAGTAAAAAATCTGACAGTCTTTGCTAATATTACGTTGAAGGTTTACAGCCATTGATCACACTCTCGAAGAAGTCAATCACTACTATTTCAATATAACCCAAAACCTTTGAAAATATCACCATTCCGTATATGGCTAACGCAAATATGTCTAATCCCCATTCTTCGTCGGCATGTTGCACTAGAAAATCATGAAAAAACTTTCAAGGTAGGCAAATTTGTTCTTATTTTTTCTTTATATGAGAATCCACAATCTCTTTGTCTATCCCCATGAGATGGGCCAAATGCTTACAAAATCTTGAATTGTGTTTTTTGACATATATATTGTTAGGAGCCTTGAGATACAGGCCCAACAAAGTCGAATATTCTTTAATAGTTGATGTCATGTCAACTTTATTGAAGATGAAATACTTGTATGCAAGATCCCAGAATTGCACTGCAGCTCTAATTAGTTGATTGTCAACTTTTATTGCAAGAAGGTGTGCTATGTGCCCATGCCTCTGGCAAAACTCCTCTTGTCTTAATGGACTCATCTTCTTCCATATATCAACTAAATTCTCTAGATTGTTTTGTTTAAGAAGGATAGATGTCTCTTGAAACAAGGTAGAAGTATATCTGATTGGTAAACAATCACCAATTTTTAGTTGAATCTTTTCTGACTAGACCTTTACTTCATTAGGTGACTCACAAGGAGCTAATACAGACGAAGAGCAAACTAGTTGTTCTGTGGAGTCTATGAAAAACTTGTTGTTGAAGATCGTCTTTCAGGCAAATGTTCTTTATGCAATTTTATGATATAAGTATGAATCATGCAAACATGAATAAAAGAAAATGTTAGTATATAAAATAAAGAAAAATAAACAAATAAATACTTAAATAAATTAAAACATCACGCACAATAAGAGGAATGAATCATATGCTTCTGGTCAATTCTAAAGGGAAATAGATGGCTCTATCTATAGGTTAGGCATTTTTAAGGTTCACTATATGTGGTTTGAGATTAAAATCTAAAGGTTCCATATTGCTCCTTACATCATCGTCCATTACAAACTAGTAAGGCACCCCAATCCTCACCCATTACAGGCTACAAGCGAAAAAGGTTCAATTTGAATGGGAGTATTTCGCTAAGCACTATAGAGGCATTAAAACCTCACGAAAGCAATAGGTACTTTACTCCCTCATAGAGGGACGGAGCTCGAGTATAGAGCTCATGTTATGCATATCATATGAATGATAGAATTAATAAAGTAAATAAATATAACTGAATAAAAAAATCTATATAAAAAGTTCAATTTTATTAAGCTTTTGGATAACACAAATTTATTTGTTGGCTTGACTCTCGGTTATCCCCAGTGGAGTCGTCAAACTATCACAACATTTAGATCTGGAGATCTATTGCTAGATATTGACTTAAGGAGTCACCACCAATCTTTTTTGTTTAGGTGCGATTGGCCACCTAAGAAATCTATCATTTTATAAAACACCTAAGCTTAAGGGTCCCTAAAAGAATAGGTTCGGGTCTACTAACCAAAACAAGGTTCGGGAGTTCGGTTATGAGTGAAGAAGGTTATAGAAGCCTTACAACGCCCATCGAAAGATGGTACCAGCTAAAATTCGTGTTATCCAATAAGCCTTAAAAATTTTACCAAGAAATTAATTATTGGAAATTATTCTTAATTAACTCCAATACTTTTGGCAGAAAATTAAAAACATTTTCTCACCTTAAGAGTATACAAGAAAACTACTGTTTCACTTGTAGAGACTTCATCGTCGGATTATTTAACATTAAAAAATTTTCAAGAAAAAAATGAAGAAAAAGAATAAAATAAAAAAAAATAATGGTTCAACTCTTGATATAAATCCTTTTCTCTTCATATAAAAAAACCCATTGCTTTTGTACAAGAAAAATTGATACTTTCAACTTTTTCTTAAAATATTTTTCTTGATAATTTTTATTTTTAAGAAAAATTGGTACTTCCAACTTTTCCTCAAAATGTTTTTTTTTTTGAAATTTTAATTTCAAGAAAAATTGATACTTTCAACTTTTCCTTAAAATACTTTTTGAAAAAATTTATTTTAGAAATTTTTCTTTCAAGGAAAATTGATACTTTTAACTTTTCCTCAAAAATATTTTTTAAAACCTTTTTTATTTTCAAAAAAATTGATACTTTCAACTTTCCCTTAAAAATAATTTTTTTTGAAACTTTAATTTTAAGGAAAATCAAAAATATATATAAAAATAAAAATAAAATAAGGAATACCAAATAATTCTAATTTAGAAAATAATAATAATAATAATAAATAAAATAAATAAATAAATAGAAAAAGATAAAAAAAACCTTAAGGTGACTCGGCTTGGCTGGAAAGATTGGCTCGGCTTGAGAGACAGAACACAGCTCAAAAGTACGGCTCAACGAGAAACGGCTCGGCTTAGCTCGGCTGTAGGGGTTGGCTGACAATCGGGTCAGACATGGGTCAGCCTCGGGTCAGGTCGAACCAAACAAAAACGCATGAATCCTCTGAGCTGATTTAACGCCAAAACGACGTCATCTTGAGCAAGTATAAAAGGAAAAAAATCTCATTTTTTTTGCTAGATGTTCTCTTTTTCCTCTCTCTTCCCCTCAGTTTTCTCTCCCTTTCTTTCTACCCGTGAAGAACACCAGTGGGATTCTCACCGGTTTCTGGGTTTTTTCATTAGAAACTGGGTATTCATAGAAAAAGTTACCGAAAACTTAAACCTCACCAAAAAATTTCGTCGGATTCTGAAAATTTTCTAAAAATTTTCTAGAAAAAAACTCCAAAAAATTCGAAAAATTTTTTCTAAAAGTTATAAACTGCCTCTAAACACTTTTTGCTTTTGTTTCACCTCTCTGTTGTGTTTTTCTCTCCGTTTTCTTTGTGTGTCTATTCTGTGTGATCTATGGACCTATTTATAGGGATTGATCAGAAGAGTTTCTGATCAAACCCAATTCCTTTTGGGATTTGGATTCAATCTTTGAATCCAATCCCAACTCTGCCAGCCCCAAAATTCACGACAGAATGCATTCCAATTTTTTCTAATCCTAATCCCAGCTGAAAATTGATCAAGAAAAAGAAAAAGTAAAAAAGAATAAAAAAATAAAAGATAAAAATATGTATACTAATAGATAATTAATAAATAAATAAATATATTAATAGATAAATAATAAAAAATATTAATAGATAAATAATAAAATAAAAATATATATTAATAAATAAATAATAATAATAATAATAAATATAAATATAAATACAAATGGGCTTATCCATTTGGACTAAACACAATTAATCCGGGTCTAAACCAAATTGGGTATCTACATCTGATATAAACATCATTAAATTAGCAGCGTTTTTCAAATACAAATGCCATTAAAATAGCGACGTTTTATAAAAAAGCTACTATTTTTCTCAACGCATGTATAATCGACACTTTTATTGGCATTTTTTACAAACGTCATAAATCTTTTAGTGGTATTTATAAATGTTACTAAACATTGAAAAAAACACCACTAAAAACCTAAACCCTTATAGTGAGACAAATTTTGCACTTTCATTAAGCTAATGCTCATAAATTCCTTTTGGATTCACAATTATGGATTGTCAAAATTCAGAATAATTAAGGTGAAACTCACATGAAATTCGAGTTTGATAACCAGAAAGTGTCATTTTATATTCAAATATATGCAGTGAAAAGCATTTAACTCACCCTAATACAACTTGCATAACCTTCAGCAGGGAGTTCTAAAAGCTGTACAGCGGCATCAAATGCATCTGGAGCCTATGATGGTGGTGCTTCTAGAAGTCCAAGAAGAAGTCTTTGGGTGGTGCTTGGAGTTGCAATGGCGAAGAAGCTGATGACAGACACTTATACCCAATAGCAACTAGACATGTTGGGCATTCATCTACATAATAACTTTGTTCAAAATCTTAAACAAAGACCATTCACATAGTACTTCACCAAAAGAAGGAATCGTTTTATTTTCTTTATCAGTTACCTTATAATGAAGCACATATTTTCATCAATGTTGTTCTTTTGTGCACTAACATAAACTTTTGCAATTGCATTTGTTAAACACTCCTATTCCAAATAGAATGTGCTACCATGCACTTTGGAACATCCTAAAACATTATCTTCTTACCTTTTTAGACATCTTAAACTCCTACCGTTTCTATATCCAAAATAGATATTATAATATTTGCTGTAAGAATATCAGATTTTGTACAAGAGAAAAATCTTAAAGTTCAACTGTTAAGAAGTCAAAAGGTTTTTCATGAAACCATGTGTAAGGCAATTCAGGATAGGAGGTGATACATATAAAAGAACACTAAAATTGCACTTTCCACCCAACCTAACCCTTACCCCTACCCCTTCTCAGAATAATATGAACAGATTGTTATTCAAACAAACATTCACATTGCTGATATAAATTTCGAAGTGCTTAGCTATGTTAGACTTTGAGATTTTCCTATAATAGGATAATAGCTTTGGAAATTTGTCCATCACTAGTGTTAACTTTTTGAAATCTTGTAATGGTGTCCGTTGTTTAGTCAAAAACCATGTGAAACTCTTTTGAAACAAGCAGACATATCTTAAATATTACATCTAATGTTTTTGTATAAATGATATGATAATGAAATGAAGTACTAGAGTGTGTTCCTAGCTCATATCTCTTGTTTTGCTCTCTACGATGCTTATTTCATTTTTTCAATATTATAACAAGCTGAATGCCTTATATATGTGGCGAAACACTAGACTTGCAAGGTATGACCATGTACACCTGTCATAGAACAAATATCTTGAGAAATGTTATCCAAGAGCTCTCTAAGGTTCAGCAATTTATCGATGAAATAAAGATGCGTACAGTTCAAGAGCTGGTAACCCAGCAACTAGATGCTCGTCCAAAGCTGTTGTTGGCAGAGGAAGTAGAAGCGCAGGGACCGCTGCAGCTGTTAAAGTTGCCGTCTCATAGCATGCAACCTCCTCATCGCAAATGCTTAAAATGACACCAGCACCATTTGCAACAGCCCATCTTGGAGTTGATGGCATGAGCTGGGCATGCTTTCCAGATCCATGAGAAGAAGGTATTAGTAAACAATAGTCAAATGATAAATCCTCAGGCCTAAAGTATCTTGTTATTTGTGGTTAGAAAAAAGAAAATCCAACTTAAGGCCAATTTTATTTTCATATCGTGATATACAACCACACATCCATTCATCAATTATTCCAGGTCTAGTTTAGCAATTTCTCACATCAATTAGCATCATATTGTGAAATTGGAAAAATTATAACTAGACAATAATTAGTAAGGCCACTAATGACACTTCTATGACAAATTTTACAAACATACTTTTACACTTTATGCCTTAGGGTAACAAAATAAGACAGAATATTCACCCTGCTTGCAAATAAAAATTAGCACAAAGGTTGGACTTGGTAATACTGCAAAGACAAGATCCTAGTAAGCAATAACCGCATCATAATAATTTTCTGTGCATAATATTATCAGCTGGAATAAGAATATTTTAAGTCATTCTAAAACATAAGATTGCCCAAACCTCGGACACCAATCGATCAAGATACAACGTATTTACTGTCAATACTAGGACAACCAGCAATATCAACTTATCAACGGGTAACATGCAACCACTCTTTAAAAAAAAGTACATAATCCTTCATTGCCTTAAAGAATTTCCTAAACTACATCTTCTCTAGAAAATTGGGTTTTATTTAGATGAGCCCCTCCAAAAATTACCATCAGGGATTTAAATAGCAGTCGCAGTCATGTTTTTGGTTGCATCACATTTATCGTCTTTTTGGATATAACAGAGATCATTGCGGTCACTACGGTCATCGCGGTCATCACGGTTGTAAATTTTTTTTTTTTTGCACAATTTATTATAAAATTTAATAATTATAATTATAAAAACTCTTATTCAATGATTTTAAAAATAGTTTATGACACTCTATGTTTTTTATTTTCTAAAAAAATTATTCACAATTTTATTTAGATTATAATAAAGTATTCATATTTGGTTTATCCATAAAATTTTTCTTGGCCAAATTCATATTCAATATTAATTCTAGACAAATCAAATATTAACAAAACATAATATGTTAAATACCAAGCATCTATATTTAATAAAATTACAAAATTAAAAGTATAATAATTTCAAATTCCATCAACTACAATTATTGATATATATATTTCAAACTTTACCACATGGTAGAATGACAAGAAGGATCAAATTCTCTATCTTCACTTTAAGAGCCAAGTTGACTCCATCTCTATCCCTATGGCCTTTGTTCTTGATACATTTGAGGTGGATGATATATTTGAGGATGATAAATTTATGGTGGGGGATACATTTGTGGTAAATGATACATTTAAGGTGGAGGATACATTTGAGGTGGAGGATAACCATATGGAGGTGGATAACCATGAGAAGGTTGAAAATTAGGTTATTCCAATGGATAGTAACATCTTTGAGTACTAGCAAATGATTCACTATACTCAAAGTTACTAGAATTTGATCTCTCACTTGAGGATGAAGAACCTCTAAAAATATCATAGTGGTGTTTCTTGGCTTTTCTTTTTGATCGAGCTGTACGTGCACTTTGACCTTCACTAGATTCAGTAAATGGATTTACCTCGTATTCTGCCATATTAATGAAAAGTTCACCAGTAGCAGCAAGCTCAAATTCTCCTCCAAATGGGTTGTAAGGTCGATTTGCATCCATATTATCACCAAAATTTGAATCATCACCATCACCATTACCATCACCATCATCATCATCTAGACTTAAACCCCCACTATCATCACTCTGAGTTGGTGTTGGACTTGAACTTGAATGTGACACATTCCTTTTTTGAGATTGGTGTGATTGCTCAACATTCATTTCATTATCAGAATTATCTGCGAGCAACTAATCAGAGTTTTGATAATTTAACATAGGATTTTCTTTCTCTTGCAGCCATTCTATTAGTGGATCATTATCTTCAAAAATATGGTCAAGGCTAATAGGATTAAAACTATTATTTATCTCATCAATGCTCATTCTTTTCTTATGTCTCATCCTTAGCCTCATGTTATAATAGGTATATACAAGTTTTCGAAGTCTTTCAAACTTCAATATGTTTCTTGCTTTGGTGTGAATATAGCTAAATGTGCTCTAATTACGTTCACAATTTGATGCAGATGTTGTTTGACTAAGCACTTTGATAGCTAGTTTTTGTAATTCAGGAACACAAATGCCATATACCATCCACCATTCAGCTATATAAAATTATTTAAATTAAATTTAAATGTTCTATATAATTAAATAATATCAATAAATTATAATTATTTAATTTACTATTTACTTTGATTCATTTGGTTCCAAGCTTTTTGTGTTTGTGGAGTACCAAATGTTTCATGCTTGTCTTGAAATAATAATAACTACATCGATTGAAAATACAAAAATAAATGAATAAATAAAAAATAATTCAATTTTTAATGCATAAAATAAATGTTAAAGTTGTAAAATAGTATTAAATACTAACCTGATTAATCATTCAGATTTGAGTATCTATCAAAGGTTTTAATCTTTCAATAGCTACTTTTATACCTTTTAATGTTTCTTTAAATGCATTTGCAGAATGTTTCACTCCAAATTGAAATTGTGGATTTAGATAGTAACCTAAACATAATTCATAACAATATTATATTAAAGTAATAAAAAATAAATATATAAGCAATTTAAGTATAAAAAATAAACATATTTTTTAAATACCATCTATATTCTTGGTTTACTTACTAAGTGAATGCAAGTCAGAGTGCATGAAACTTCATCTATTGTCAATAATCTTTTCATATTCAGCAAAATAACAATAATTTTGCTGAATTGCTTGCTTGGTTCTATCCACAACCTCGTAAATAAAGCCCATGTTGGTTTTTCATCACCATCCACAAGGCGCAATACTTTTACCAAAGGCTCATAAACTTTTATTATATCACTTGCTTTTTTCCAAAAATCTTTTCCCAAAATGATTTTTTTGGCTTCATAAGCAGGTCCTGATTTTTGTTGTCCCCATTTTGATTTTTTAAATTCTTATATATTCATCAATAAATTTTTAGAGTAATATATTTGAAATTAATATTTTAAACAATGATATCATAAAAAGATGCTAGATTTAAATAGTTGTACTAATTACTAAATACTAACCTTTGAATTGAATATCTTTTTCAAAACTTACTTCGTTATTTCTTCTAACTATATGAAATAAGTGGAAAATCAGGTAAAAGCAGGACGAAGTATTTGCTTCCCTTGTGTATATTTCTTCATCAAATTAATAGTCCAAATGTGATTGTATATAAAACAAGTCACTTTCTTTGCATCATCCAAAACCTTTGCCATATTTTTTCTTGCCAATATCTTAAAGGCACAAGTTCAAACAATTAGCTAAACATGTTGTCCAATATAAATGTTTTCTCTTCTCCATTAGTCCTTTTCTTACAGCCTTAAGTGCTACCTTATTATCAGTAACTATTTGGACAATGTAGTTTTCTTTAATTTTTTCCACAACTTCATCTAATAATCTATAGTAAAAGTTTGCATCTCTACTACGAACACTTGAGACATCTAAAAATTTCTAAAAAAATGGTCCTTTTACTACAGTAAACAAGGAAATTAATGATATGCATTTGATTCAAACTATTGGTCCAACCATCACATATCAAAGTGACACCCAATTCATTCCAATGAACTTTTAATCCATTAATCGATTCATGAACTTGTTGATACTCAAACTCTAAATACACATCGAAACCTTATAAGGTGTTAGGAGTTTTACATGTTAGCCAACTTTTGCTGTCGCAGAAATCAAATTATGCAACCATGAAAAATTTGCTAACTGAAAAAGAAGTCAATCATATATCAAAAATTTTGATACTGATTCACCCATCTTTCTTCTTAATGTCTTTAAAAATGAATCACTTACTTTTTGTTGCCTTAAACTCTTACTTCTAACCAATTCAGGTATAGCTCCCCTTAATAAAAATTTAGACTCATTTGGAGTTAATTTCCTTATTCTTTTTCCAAAATATTCAGCAACTTAGCCATAAAAGCTTCGTCCCTCTTCATATATGTTACTGCAACCACTAGTTCTTTGTTTGAATTCTTATCTTCTGTGCCACTCATGTTGTGATTAGATACCATCTCGCATGGCTTGTCTAGTAGCGATGTCTTCGTCAATAAATCCTTCATAATCATCTTCCCCTCTTAACTGTGATAAAAATTCATTTTTTCTCCTTTTATTGTCAGCTTTTTTTTATTTGCTTTCTTAAAGGAGTTTCATCATATTTTCTCTTACTATACCTATTAATAATATAGTTAAAAAAATGGAGAAAATTAGTTGCACATGCTTATGTAATTTTATAATTTTTATTGAAAAATTAACAATAATATTTTCAAAGGAATTATAAAAACATAAAATACCAGTAACATTAGGGCATTGTGCAACATTGCCAGTTTTATGAGCAATGTGTTCCTTGAAACGTGTTATTCTTCTTTTTATAATTTTACCATAAAGTTTACATCAAACATTTTCTTTTATATTTGGCACAAGTGTTCCAAAATGCTAACTTATATCATCACTCGACGCGCCCTCTACTTCTTTACTCGGGAACTCTTCACGTGATGGCATACTTGCTATTTTGTATAAAAATAAAATAAATTTATATTTAAAAATATTAATATTATTTATTACATCATTAAAAATTGAATTTACGCTAAATTTTTTAATTTTTAGTTTTTAATCTTAAAAATATTATTAAATAACTTAATATATAACACAATCAAAATATAATATTTAATTTTAATTAATTTTCATCTAACTTATACAAAAAAATTTTATCAAAATTTTTTATCTAAAATCTCTATATATATCATATTAAATTATTAATCCCTTAATTTTTTTTAATTATAATCTTCAATCCCTCTAATTAGATTTTATCTAAAAAAATTTCAAAAATTAAAAATTTTCAAACTTATATTTTTTGTTTTCTAGT